CAGGCACTGTGCTAAGTGCTGGGGATACCAAAAGAGACAAAAGAGTCTCTGCCCCCAGGGAGTTTACAATAAAAAAAAAAAGCTAACAGTCTAATGGAAAAGACAGCGAGTAAACCATTAGGTGCAGACAAGCCATGGATAGGATAAATAGGAAAGAATTAACAGAGGGAGGGAGATGGGATGAAGAGGGCTGGGGAAGGCTTCCTGTAGAAGGTGGGATTTTAGGTGGGACTTAAAGGAAGCTGGGGAGGTCAGTAGTCAGAGGGGAGACACGGAGGGTCTTGTTGGGGGACGGTTTGGCCCCTACTGCATGTGACCCATCCTAGGGAACTCTCCCGTCCAGCTCACTCCATCTTGGCACGTCCCCCTTACAGGACATGCTCTCTCCCACTCACGTCAGGGCTTGGCACAGTGCCTGGCATACACAGGACATTTAATAAGTGTGCACTGACTGACTGCTTAGAGTGCTTCTCCCATTTGCCCTTTCAGGTGCTAAGAAATGGCTAGAGTGGAGGAAGGAAATTGAGCTGCTGTCAGATGTGGCATACTTCACCCTCACCACGTTTTCAGGTAGGGCAAAGGTGGGGTGCTGTGGAGAATCAGCATGGCGTCCCCGAAGTCTCGGAGCCTTGGGGGATGGGATGGCTCTGCAACACTCTTCGGCCAAGGGCCCTTTCCTCGGCCCCTCCTTCTCCGCCTTTCCCTCCTTCCTCCCTACAGCACCAGGGAGGCCTCCTCTGCTCACACTTCAGGAGAGTGCCTTTGGGGCAGCAGAAAAATGTCAAGTCTTCCATCTTGCTGTTCCCATAAATGACCTGGAAGGCCCTATTATGAGAATGAAATGGGCTCTGAGCCTCAGACGTCAGGCCTGTGGTCAAAGCCTGCTGGAGAGTCACCTGCCCCATCCAGCCCAGTGAGGCACAAGCCGCCACCTCAATTCCCCATGCCTGTGCACCCCTGTGACTCACAGGCCGGTCTCTTACACCATCTCTGGGAGCCGTTGGCCTAGTGAGGATGAAAAGTGACTTGCCCTGAGTTTAGCAGAGCAAACCTGGAAGTAGGTTCCATTATTATTTCCATTTTACTGATGAGGAAACTGAGGCACAGAGGTGAAGTGACCTGTCCAGGGTCACCCAGCTAGTGAGTGTCTGAGGCCTGATTTGAACTCAGGTCTGCCTGACTCCCAGCTCTGTGAGAAGACAGGCTGGGAAGGTGGTGAGAAGAGTGGGGAAGCTAGTTTGGCAGAGGCTGTCAGGCAGGCTCTCCCCAGGACAAGTCAGCATTTTATTCTGCAGTCAGTAGGCAAGAAATGAAAGGAGCCAAGCAAGAGTGATAGCTGGGTCTGGCCTGATGATCTGGAGATTGTTCTGGGAGCAGGCAAGCCCACTGGAGGCTGGGGAGAAGGGATGAGGGTCTGGCCCAGGGCAGCTGGACAGAGGGGTCAGAGATGTGAGAGTGGACTCGATAGGATCAATTACCTGTTCCATCCTTTCGAGGAGCATGGCAGAGCCCCTCTGTGTAGGCCCTGGGTCCACGGAGCCTGGTGCCGCCATCTTGGGAGAGAGCAGCGTCCCCAGTGTCCCGTGCACTCTTCCCCTACAGGCTACCAGACTCTTGGGGAAGAATACGTGAACATCATCCAGGTGGACCCATCCAAGAGAAAAGTCCCTTCTTGGCTTCGCCGAGCCGCGCTCGTCTCTCTGCACACCCTTGTGCCCTACATGCTGGATAAGGCCTTACTCCATCTCGAGCATGAGCTGCAGGCTGAAGTCGAGAGTGCCCGGCACCTGCAGAACAGCCTGGTGCCTAGCGTCCGAGGGAGGTCGGCGGTACGGCAGTGGCTTCACAGACACGTCCGCCATCTGACTGAGTCACAGAAGAAGACGCTCCTGCGCGTGGTGTATGTCCTGAAACAGAGCATCACCTGCCTCCACCGGCTGCATGTCGCCATCTTCTACATCGATGGAATCTTCTACCACCTGGCCAAAAGGCTCACGGGTATTGAGTATGTAAGTAGCTTGGTCCTTCACTAGCCACAGCATGGCTGGGTTCTCTTCCAGGAAGGCAGGCCCACAGAACAGACTCTCGACCAGGAAAGCGGCTCTTGTTTCTGTCTGTTCTGAACAGCCGCTCTCTCTGCGGTCCAGATGTGCAGAGCACGTTACAGACTCGGGCTGCACAGCTGCAAGAGCTGACCTCACTTCCCATCGTACCAGATGAGGTCACACCCTATCTCCTTTGCTGTTGAGCTTTGAGGCATTCAGGGGCTCATTTCTATCCTGCTAGTCTGTTTTCCACCAAGTTTTCAGTATTAATACTGCACTTTAACTCGGTTAACTGAACAGGAAGCACTGCGCTGGGTCCCGGATTCTTCAGGCTCCCAGTGGGGTCCAGGTCAATAGCAGCAGCCCTCGGGTTGGGACCAGACACCTGAGGGTGGCATCACAGCTGTTCTCTAGCTGGGCGACCCCAGGCAAAGCCACCCTCTTCCTTCTCCTCTGCGTCTCTCCCCATTTGAAGGATGCTGGATCTGGGCTGGTTAGTCCCTTAGGTCCTTTCCAGCTCCAGTTGGGATCTTGGTCAGAACTGGATCAGTACCCCACCGCCATCTTCTCTTTTTAAGTTGGCTGTCAGGTTCATGCCAGCTTCACCAAGTCTGTATCAAGCAAGCTCATTGGATTCCAAACAGCCAAGGCCAACTCAGCCTTGTTACTGGATGTTTCTTCTCTGCCAGAGCCTGCCCCTCCTCCAGATCCACCTGATTCCATCTTTTGGTGCCTTCCTTGACTCCTCCTCTCCCACCTCCCCATCTCCAGATTCTTGTCAAGTCCTGCTGTTTTGTCTCCTTGGCACCTTTCTCCCCCATCCCTTTCTTTCTACCCTTGTTCAGACATTAAAAGATTCCGTGGGTGTCTCCACTCTCTAACCCTGGGCCACCAGACCTAACTTAAAAATGTAAACACCATTCTTGGTTGAGCAGGTGGGCTCTCTTTGACCACCCCTGGAACCCCAGCTGCCAGTCATCTTCCTGAGGTCCGCTGCCCACATGGCCCCCTGTTCAGAAGCCTTCAGGGGCTTCCTGTCTCCTCAAGGGCAAAATGCCAATATTTAGCCTGGCATTTAAGGTCCTTCCCAGTTCTGGCTTCAGCCGACATTTCGAGTCTTATTTCCTGTTACCCCCTTCATGCCCTATGTTCTAGCCAAGCTGAATTAGGGATTGCCTGGCACTGTGGACAGAGAAGTTGCCTTGGAACCAGGAGACCTTCAGGCACAGACTAGGTAACTCTGGCAGGTCCCTGAAGCTCTCTGTGCTCCAGGCTACTTTCTAGGTCTCTGGCTGCCTTAGCAGGGGAACAGGCCTCCCAGAACTCACCCACTGGGGTGCGTTCACATGTTGCCCTTCTGTCAGCATCCTTGATGGGAGTCAAGGCGAGCCCAGATGCCACCTCTTGCCCAAGCCTCTCCTCCTTTGGCTCTGTGCTGACTTAGTGTAGAGGCTATGCCTCCAAGCCAAGTAAAAGCCACCTTGGGGTGGGGACTGCCCGCTTTCCCCTTTGTAAATGCAGGGCCTGACTCTGGCACCTGGGGGCTCTGAACTCCACAGCTCCGTGTGCGCCGCTTCCCTGGAGATGACCAGAGTGTTCGCTGGAGCTACAGGCTTCTAGGGATGGTGTCCTTGCTGCACCTCCTGCTCTCGGTGGGTGTCCAGATCTACGGCTTCAGTCAGAGGCAGCGGGCACGGAAGGAATGGAAGCTCCATCGCAGCCTCTCCCACCGCAAGTATGAAGCTTCCCTGGCCCAGGGGTGGCCCTGGGTGGAGGGCTCCAGGGACTCTTCCCATTCCAGCAGCCCCCTTCCCTCAGGGACTGGTGGGGCATGTTGGCCATGCTTTGTTTTCCTCACAGGAGCCACGTAGAAGAGAAGGCTATGGGCAGGGGCTCTGTGTGCACCCTGTGCCTGGAGGAGCGCCGGCGGGCCACGGCCACGCCATGTGGCCACCTCTTCTGCTGGGAGTGCATCACGGAGTGGTGTAACACCAAGGTAAGGGGGAGAGAATGGCAGTGTCTTCGGGCTGCGAGCGTGGGTTTGAGCTCCACCGCCGACCTGTGGTGGTTCAGACATCCTGGATCCCAGCTCTGCTGTTCTGCTTTGTGATCGTTAGGCAAGCCTTTAAGCCTTGCCTCAGTTTCTTCTTTCAAAAGGAGAACTGCAGCCTCTGCTCACTTTACAGGGCTGCTGGGAGGCTCAGTCGAGAACCTTAGCTCACAGACATAGGAAACTGGTGGTTTTTTCTCTATCACTTTTAAGCACTGACCCAAAGCAAGGTTCTTCGCCTTTTTACATCCTGGACCCCTCTGACAGTCCGGTAAAGCCTCTGGGCCCCTTCTCACAATAAGGATTTTAAGTGCATAAGATTACAAAGTAAAACAAATACATTTAAAGTTCTCAAAATAAGCTCACAGACCCCAGATTAAAAACCTCCTGATCTAGGAGAGGTCTGGGTGAGGAAACTCCCCCCACCAGTCCAGACTGGCACCTTAGGGTGCCCCGAGCATGGAGAGGGTGTGACTTGGGGAAGGTTACACAGCCCGGACGCGTGCAAGGCAGGACAGGCACCCAGGTCTTCCTCAGCAGCCATCTGACTGCTGACAGCTGAGTGCCTGTTTTCCTCACAGGCTCTGTCCGTACTCAGAAAAGGGAAGAGATTATTTTAGAAAGACAGCAGGACACCAGCAGGGCTCTCTCGAGATGAGCCATGAGCAGGTTTTGACTCATCTTGGGCAGCAGCTTGTAAAAGCTAGCTCCTTCCTGGCCCCAGCATGAGTAACAAAATCACTCCTGAGAAGAGATGGCTACATTTTTTTTCCTACTCTCATTTCTATACCTTACCACTGTTTAACCATCTAGAATTTGTCCCAGTCGCCTGGAAAACCTAATGAAGATGAGAAACAAGCTGCTTTGTTAAACCCTAATCAATAGTCTTCCCTTTAAGCAGTCAAGATGGGGACTTCCAGCACTGCAAACCTTTCTGAGGTAGGGGGCAAAAAGAGACAGGTGGATTACTAGTTTCCAGAGTAGACAGCACCATCAATGAACTGAAGGCAGGATCCTTTCTGGGTCAAACAAATTAATAACTAGAGCCAGGGGCTTCACTTTCAGCTGAAGTTCTCCCCTTCAATGCCCGGGGCCCAATGACATAGAAAGCATCTTTAGAAAGAATACCTCCATTAAGAGGCGATTCCACCTGTTCACTCACTGGTGGGAAAGGGAAGCCAGACAAAATCTCTGGCTCATAAAAGAGCAAACCGATAAAACAGCGAAATGGGGGACTATTGGAACTAGGAAGATCCTCTCTTCCAACCTCCTTGTTTTACAGAAGAGGAAATGGGCTCAGAAAGGTGACATCTAGGAGCAGAATCAGGACTCAAATCCCAGCCTCTGCACCTGCCCCTCTCACCCTATCTGAGAGGCTGGCCTGAGGTCTTGCCTGTGACAGAACCACCAGAATCCGCTTCTCATTCCCCAGAAGTTTGGGGAGTGGAGGGAGGTTGCTAGTGTCTGAATATATTACTTTCATTGGTCTGACTTTGAAAATGCAATGCAGATACTTGGCTTAATTTTAATCAGGGACAAAAATTCAAATGCAAGAGGCATTCTTGCCTTAAATATACAGCAATTTTAAAAAGCTGGATTAGTCAGATAAAGACTGAGGCCTGCATGAGCTAATCAGGGAAGAAACGTTGAGATAATCTTCATTTCTTCATCCTGAAAATAAAGCGTAATTGTGAATGTGACAAAGAAAGGCTTAGGTTTTTGTTGGCTTTCCTGTACAGTTTTATCATGTTGACATAGCCTATTCCTCCTAGAGGGCAATGGGCACTTCAGAAGGAACACCAGTGCCCAGTTTGATCCATCTTCGTTTTCCCCATAGACGGAATGTCCCCTCTGCAGAGAAAAGTTCCATCCACAGAAACTGATTTACTTGCGACATTATCGTTAGTCCTAGCAAACCCAGCTCAAAGGGCAACAGAAGAAAAGGAAGAAGCTCTCAAGAGATCATGTCTTTATTAATGGACCAAAAGCAGAGTTCATTTTAATTTACCCAGAATCATGATGGTGACTTCATTTGCACTGAAATTATCAAGGTTATTTTTGGAATCACTGCGTAAGGTACTTTGTCCACTGCTCAGCTAATGGGGAAGGTGTGGTGGGAAGCCAGGCCTGACTTAATAACTCTACTTGTGGGGTATTAAGATGTCCTTCCTAACCAAGGACAGGACTTCAGACAGGGATGCATGTCTACACTGAATCATACACACCAAGGCAAGCTCTGTTCGACTCAGAAAATTCATCCTGGATCTTAGACATCATTGCCAAATGTATGAATGTCCATCTTCCTTTCCAATTAGCCTGAGATAATTGTTGGACAAACAGTAATCTAACTTCCTTTCCCCCAATTTCTGTGCTACTTGAAAACAGTTTCTGAGAAGTTGGCATTTCGCTTATTCGGAAAGGGGTTCACTGTGCTTATCAAAAAAGCAGAGTTTTAGGTTTTCTTCCTTACCCCACAACTAACATGCAGCTGAAACCAGATTCTTCTGAATTTACATTCTAAGCAGTCAATAATAAAGGTTTGTGTATATATTATGGTATAATAATTTCACTATCAGGTTGACTCATGATTGAATGACTTAGAGAACCTGGTACTTCATCCAGGTGCAAACTGTGAATTAAGTGGTTGGCTGCCAAGTGAAGAATGTCAGAACCTTTCCCTGCACGTACTAGGGCTTGCTTGGGTGTCAACCCAAGCTCGTATTTGGCACATGCTTTCGAGAAAACCGTCCAATTGTTCTCCCATAAAACAAAACAACAAAACCCACCCTTCAGTCCACTGGACCAAATGTATTTATTCTGCTGCCAGAGAAAGCCACACTCTGGCTGGTGATTCGGTTCTCCGCCTCTCAGGGTGCTTTTCCTGCCAGCAAAGTCAGGCCAACTCATGAAGACATTGGGAAGTTACACACATGGTCGTTCTCACAGACTGCACAATCTCACAGTGTTGGGGAGGCGGAGGGCCCTTGACAAAAGCACAGGTTAACCAATCCAGAAGCACCTGCTGTCAGGTGTCACAAAGTAACTGATTTTAACCCAACCCAAATAAAGATTGTCCTCTACAAACCCAATGATCCCTTTCATTTGGTCCATCTAATGTCCACTTGCTGAACTCGTTAATTACACCAATCCACACAAATCTGTGGAAAAATAAATTTTTTTCAATTCCACCAATAGCTAATAATTGCTATTGGTCAGTAAATAACTTTCCTAACAAATCGCATTTTAAAGGTGCAACAGAAAAATGTCTTAACTTTAAATCTAGCAGAAAGATTATTCCCGTTACATCTTTAAAAACATTCTAAGCAGCCCTTCAGCATGCTAGAAGCCTAGAAAGGCAGAAGGGGGAATTTAAAATTAAGATTTAATTTTTGTTTCTTTCCAACACAAACTATTTTCCAATTAACTTCTAATAAGAGTTGCCTGCAATAACCATTTAGTTTAGAAGATAACAGAACAGTTAAGTTTCACTACAAAGAGACTGAACCCGGTGAATCTACATTAGGAGTCAAATATAATGGGTTACAAGACCAGAGAGAGGTTATTAATCAGTCAGTCAAACAGAAAGATTCTTGCCAACAGAGTAGATAAAAACACATGATCAGCTTCTAGGTGACCAGTCCCCAGAAAAAAGAGCACCCACCATGAAAGAAACTTGTCTAGTGGAAAAGCTAAATCCAATGGCTTTGGTTTTTGCCAGATTAAGCTTAACCACAGGCAGATTTTTAAGGTAAGTGTTGAAAAAAAGTTACCATGCTTATACTGCGTATTTTTAAAAGTTATATAAAAATCTTTAAATTCACATTTTTACCAAGTGTGCAATACAGTGCTGTCGCATCTCACTGCTTTTTAAAAACCACATACAAGAGAGGGCAGCAATTTAACTATCAAATTAATAATACTTGGAATGTCTTCAGGAAACAAATCTAACCATGGTAGAGAATGGTTTTCTTGGTAACTTGCCTTAGAAAGCTTAATGTCTCAGTTCTGATGATCACTTAAATATGAACTTCATATAGAGGGCTGAAGTTTTCAAGAGTACTTTAACGAGAACAAAAAAAAAATTGTTAAAGCCTCAATTCTAGAAATCCCATAACTGAACACTGCATAAATATATTTGGGTAATAGAGACCATATCCATATACACCCCCAAACTCAGCATCTGCAATTAAAGGATATACTGTTAAAAATAGCTCTCAAAGTATCTATTCTATGCATTACTCTAAGATCAGGGAGCAAATACATTAATTTTCACTATGGCATATAAGACCACAGTGGTAATTCATTCAAATATTTTGTATTTTTTTTTTCAGTAGCTGTAAGCTAAAATGATTCAGTTGTAGAAAAAAATTAATACTTTTACCAACTGGGTTTTCCTATGGTATGTGATGAGTTATAGCGTTCTTATATAAAGACTAACACAAGAAAGGGGACACTATCTTTAATAAAGTCTGGAATTAAAAAGTCACTTAATAAAATTTTAGAGTTGTTTTATCACATCAAAAAAGTTCACATGCAGGTCACAGTTCTATTTTTTTTTTCCATAGAAAATGAAATCTATGTGTTAAAACCCACAAAATTGGTCTGTTACTGCCAGTTGTGTTGAGTTCTGAAGGGGATGCATAAAGGAAAAAAGTTAATCCAAAAAAACCAAAACCAAAACCAAACAAAAAACCCAACCCCAAACAAAAACAAAACCAACCCCACTTCTTGAAGTATCAAAGAAATGTGTCAAAATAATTTCAAACAATGAAAATATATATATTTATATATTTATAATTCAGGGCCCTCAAAAGAAATCATGGTCATTAAGAACAAAGTTTTGAGTCATTATGAAAAGAGCCAAACTTCAAACATCTCTAGTAAGATGCAATTAGGAAACTGGCATTAGATCCCCAAACACAGTTACTTGAAAATCACCTTTAAAATGTTAAGTTCTTTAGGAAAAAGGCAGCATTCAATTTATCATCAGATCTACTATTCAATGACTTGATTATGGCCCCCAAATATCATGCATGTGCCCAGACAGCTGAAGGTCGTCGACTGCATCTGAGGGAGGCCTTAGGGACATCCCCATGAATGCCGTACCACTCAGGAAGCAAAATGCAGCTCCCAGCATGCTTCCCTCCCTCGTTCCCTACGCACACTCGAAGCACTCGAGGGCCATGCAAACAGACTGTGACGGTGACAGAGAAACGTCACCTTAACATAAGACTGTTCACCCACTGTCGCAGTCTACCAGAATCCCTTCAGAGTGAAACACGTGACATGACCGAAAAATGAACTCGATGCAATTTTGTTTAAATGCCAGCGTCTTCAAGAACCTCTCTGACATTTCAGTTACAAATAATTGAAGATCCTTTTTACAAAGAAAATTTCGACTCCCTCGTAATCAACTACTTTATATGAAGAAAAAAGGCATTGTTACAATGGCTCAAAACGGTTCTTCTCGGATTAGGTGGCAACAGGGTCAGTTCAGATTCTAACTAGCAAACGTCTTCCCCATGTCTTCCTTCCCTTTGTATTTCCTCTTCCCATGTGTGAACGGTATATACCTGTATTTTATCATATGCTGCAAGAGAAAGATAATTCAGTTACTTACAGTACAGAGGTTCCCAACAGAGCACATAGCCCCTAATGATCTACGGGACCAAACTCCTTCAATGTCCCCTCTGCATCCATGAAATTATGACCCACTCTGTCACTGTCCTGTCACTACAGTAACAATGTCATCTGGCTGGACTGATCTGGCACAACACTCCAGAGTGACAAACGTTGTCTCAGGGCTAGGAGAGACGCAGGCCAGCACAGTCTGAGACAAGGTGCTGCAGTCTAAGATGAACCGCTATGGCCACGAGGGCATGTGTGTAATTCCCAAGTGGCAAATTCTCTGCTCTAAAAATGGGATCCTGACATTTGGTAACATGGTCAGAGCAAGTCAGACCCTCAGACAAGTGGGGCCCAGATAAACAGTTTGCTAAGTAACTTACCAAAAGGTAAAGGATGGCTACTACACCACTCCAAAAATTACCTTTGCATCACTTACATTATTGATGCACATGTCACCATTAGGTGACCTCGCTCCTCACCTCTGCCTCTGAACTCCTAGCTTTCTTTAAGGGGCAGCTCAATCACCATCCTCTACTTGAAGTATTTCCTGGTTTCCTAACTGCTGAGACCCCACCCCAAACTATCTTTTATTCTGTGTGTGTGCATCCATGTGTGTGTGTGCCACTTGCTAGATTATAAATTCCTTGAGCACAGAGATTTTTCACTTCTGTCTCCGTATCCACGATGCCTGACACATAGTAGGTGCGTAAAATGCAACCTTCCCCTCACTTGAAAACTGCAGCTGAATAGTGCTGGCACCTCCTGTGAGGTTCCCAGGGGGCCAGTCACTACTGCTGGGCAGAGTCCAACATCTTGTTGAGTCTCACCTTTATTTGCCTCTTCATGGTGATACAGAAAAGCATGACAAAGTACATCACGAGGATAGGCCAGAACACTGGGACGTTGAAAGCGTCAAAAAATGTGCAGATCATAGCAACGAGAATGCCCTTAGTAGCAGAGTGCCTGAAAGCCAAGAGAGCAAAGATGAAGGCAGCTGTCACCATGCCAGCTGGGGCCTGGCTGCAGGGTTGCCCGTGGGTGCCTCTGTGACGATTTCACAGCTCGAGAGGAAGGAATGTCAGTCTACTCTGGGAGTACTCCTCAAAATGGTGTCATTCATCTCTAAGAGCATCTGGCCACCAACTTAGCACCACCACCACCACCATCATCATCATCATCATCATCATCATCACATCAGACTTATTCCCTAGCATCTCCAATGTTTTTTCCAATTTATAGTTAAGCAGAATAACAAAATTGCACGATGGTAGTTACTCACTCAAAGTCGAACTCCACCAAAATCAAAGGGTTTCTGGCAGCATTTTGGACTGAGAATAGATAACACATTACCACATTCACTGACATAGATATGATGGCTAAATCAGGAAACACTGCCTATATCTTATATCCAGTACAATGATGGCACTGGTTATAGAAAAGAAACACTTTCAGTTTATGGTAGTCCCCTTAAAGAAAGTAAATGCAAGCAGTTTTTTATTTGTTTTTCCACCCAGGGATAAGTGAGATTACAATTAGTCCCTTAAAGGTCAACCATAAATGAAAGACTTAACTGGTCAAGACAATGCAAAAGTCTGGAAATTCATGGAAACCAAAATTACCACTGTAGACTTCACATTTACATTTCAACATGCCTGGCTCAAAATCAAACATTGAGAATTCACTTACCAAAATTTAAATTCTGGAAGCCTTCGAATAAAAGGACGAAATTCCTCATTTTGTTTTGTTGGTAAGGAAGGTCCTTCATCTACAAAGTGACACGTAAATAAACATGTAAATTTAAGGTGAGATAGCCATATCATTCTTTCAAAAAAGCAACGTTCAGATTGCTATTACAACAATTATTACATGTCTTGTAATCCTAAAATCCACTCAAGGCTACCACTAAAATTACTAATTGCAAACTCCACACAGCAAAATCTAGGGAACGGTTATTCATTTTAAAAACTGGTTCTTTTGCTTCATAAAAACATTAACAATATTGAATCATGTGAGGAGATTCATTGTTATATGTCAGCTCCCCTGGTGCATTTTATATTTATTCAATTTACAAAACATTTCATGACACACCAGCAGTTAGAGACAAAGTTTATAAGGACCACGTGAAACAAAATACTGATTCCTATTCAATGCATTCCAAGACTCAAAACAGGTAACAAATACAAATCTATACATTTCATTCATAAGAACTAATCTCGCAAGGTAACTAACTCATTCCTTTCCTAATATTTTTCAAATGTCATCATTCAAAAAAAAGGGTGAGGAATATAGGCTTGTTCTATAATCAATGTTCTAACAGTGAGGAAAAAAAAATCACCTTTTTTGATAAAAGAACACAACATGAAGGTAAGCCTCTCTAGGAAATGAAAAGCTCAGAATAAACTGTCTTTCAAAAACTGCCTCACCTTCAGAAGGGATCTTCCAGCAATGGCCCTGGGATTCACCCTTCATGAAGGAGTCCCCCACCCTCCCTGCTCTCTGGTAAAGACCCCTTCCAGATCAACAGCTTGCTGCTGGGCAGCCAGGCACAGTGAGCTAGGGTGACAATCGGGGAATCATGGAAGGGGGACCACTCCCCACCCCCAGCAGCTGCTTATGTGGAGATCAAACCTCATCACTGAACGGGACTCTTAAAGAGCCAGCCAGTTTTCAAATACAAATAATTTGAAAGCCAGAAAGCACATGCCTAACTTGTTTCTGGATTATGGACCCAGACTGACAAATGGCTTACAGTTTAGGAGCTGTCTGAAATGTCTACTTCACCAACTGAAGAAAAGCAAACAATGTAACTGGTGCCAACGCCCAAGGTGGGGTAGGGGGGTAGTGATGAGCTGGAAGGGAGGGCAGATACTGTAAACTACCATTCCTAGTAACCTGACCTTCGGCTAAGGGCCTAACTGCCAGGAAGAAATCTGACATGTGAGCGTCCAGGAACGAGGGATCTCGCCCGTTCCCCTATCACCAAACACTCCCAGACAATGGACTGACCCCAGCATACCTGAGTCTTCCATTAAGGAGGGATCTACCTTTGGCGAAAGGAAAGCTATGAAAAGATTGAGGTGGTAGATTCCCAAGGCATATGTCACGATGTACCAACCCTGAGAAAACAAAACCAAAGGTTACAGACACATCTGCCCATTCAACAGCTACAGCGACCTCCTGAGCGAGGCCTGTTCTTTCCTAAGGGGTTTGTGGTGGTTAAGCCCTGGGAATCTTCTTTGACTAATCACAAGCTATCTGTCCATACAGACTCGTCATCATAATAAAAAGTTATATCACATGTGGGGAAGAGAAAACAACATCGATTTCAGGTTAATTTACAGACCTCACTATGTTGGGGTGCACAACCAAGAGCCCAAATTGCAAAGTTTTCCAAGGATACCATTAGGTATAAATCTATACCCTCTCAAATGCAGAATTCTGAAAAGCAAACTAAGACTAGTATTAAGAAGTGGAAATATTGGTAAAGGATGGCACCTAGGTGACTTGGTGGACAGAGCTCCAGACTGGGAGTCAGGAAGACCTAGGCTCAAATGTGACTTCAGACATTTCTTAGCTGTGAGATCCTGGGCAAGGTATTTGTATGTCTCAGTTTTCTCATCTGTAAAATGGGATAATAACAGCATCTCCCTCCTAGGGTTGTTGTGGGGGTCAATGACAGATTATTTATAAAACACTTAGCACAGTGATGGGCACACAGAAGGTGCTAGATAAATAATGATTATTATATGCATTATGCCTGGCAGTTAGTAATCTAGTCTGAAACTCATGTTATCAGACACACCGTAAAATGTATCCATCATTTCTCAGAGGGAAAACTAGAACCAGAAGATCAGAATGACTTTTTTTTAAAGTCTTCAATGAGAGCCAAGTACAGGAAAGAGGCAAGGACTTGGACAATACCTGTCTGCTGCAGTCTTGCTTTTAAACAAACTCATTTTAATAATGTCAAGTTCATCCAGTGAGAAAATGGTATGGTTTTGTCTTACTGCATTAACTAAAATACCTAGATACATAACAGCTGTGCAGAAAGTTAAGTGTAGTATTTAAGACTCAGTTATGACAGCTGAATGCTACTGAAGCCAAGGAAGGGTGAAGATAAGGATTTCCACCTCTCTCAGTCTCCTATTTCTTACTGACAACACAAAATTTATCTTGCTTTTGCAAAAGGCCTCTCTGCAAATCTGTGGGAAAACTGGACAAAGCATGTTTACAGTGTCATTCTAGCAAAAACCACATAAATAAACTATCCTAAGAATTCCTTTCAGTATTATTAGTTATTCCCTGTTAGATTCAAGCTTTTAATAAGGATCAAAATATCCTGGAGATGCAAGGGGACTTTAAAGTTCTATTTCAATCCCCTCATTTGGAGATGAGCAAACAATTGAAAAATTGAAAAAAATGAAGTGAAACAATTTGCCCATCACAGTGGCAGACTCAGATTGAAACCATGGTATGATCAAAATTGCCGCCCCAAATTACTGCATGATTAAAAAAAACAAACCACCTACTGTAACTTCTTTAGCATTATCTCCTGATAACACGCACGTTTATACCTGAATATATATATAAAGTATATCGCACATATAAAGTAGTACCAGAAATCAAGGGGCTGGCGGTGTAGACACATTTTTGTTACATGGTCAGTCTGTTTCCTTCCTGCTGTGGTACTTAAGTCTAATGATGCCCTCCCTCGGAGATCACCTCCAATTTACCCTGTCCTGGTTCTGTTTGTATAAAGTTGCCTGCAGGTGGTTACCCACCACCCTCCATCAGACCGTGACTCCTGGAGAGCAGGGTGTGTCTGTTTGCTGCCTTTCTCTGTATCCTCTGGACTCAGCACAGTGCCTGGAACATGGCAGGGGCTTCCTAAATGCCTGTTGATTTGAGCTATAATTACTTCAGTCTGATGATCAATATAATGATGGTGGCAGAAACTGCTTCTATTAGACAACTGAACATTCTGTGTACAAAGTGGGCCCTTCCAATGCTATTTTCCTTTAGTCATAATGCTGTTTGCACTGCCTAAGAATCTTCTCTCTGTACTGGAGGGGTGAGAAGCAAGGAAAGATAAATGACTGAGCTGAGCAGTTTATTTCCCAATAAAATCAAGTCAACAGTTTTCATCTGTATCCAATTCTGCATAGCAGAAGTCAGAGGACCTAGGTTCAGACCATGGCTCCTCTAACTGGGCTTCCATTTTCCCCATCCCTAAAATGAGGGGCTGCACTAGATCTCTAAGACAAAGACCTTCCTGCTCTAAGTTTGGAATTGACAAGAGAAAAACAGATCCGTTACAACACTTTTGTTTAATTTAACATCCCAACAAGAACAAAGTATTTGAAAATTGAAATTAAATTCAACAGGAATATAGTAAACGCATGTTATGTGCGAGGCACCATGCTATGTACTAGGGGCACAAAGGTAAAACTAGCAGACCTCACCCTGAAGGAGGGGGAGGGTATGTGAGGGTGCGTGTGTGTGTGTGCGCGTGTGCGCGCGCAACCGAGTGCGTGAGTGTTGGGGAAGATGACACAAATACAAATAAGTATGTGAGAGGTGTATGTGATAAGACAAAAAACAGAGGCAAGGTAAAGGGCAATGAAATGAGAAGAGAGCACTTTCTCGGGGAAGAAGATGGCGCACCAGAGTGCATACAGTGCTGGGCCTGGGTGAGTAAGACCTGAGTTCAAATCTGGCCTCAGACACTGGCTAGCTATATGACCCTGGACAAGTCACTTAACCTGTATTTGTATCCGTTTTCTCAACTGTAAAATGGGGATAATAACAGCATCTTCTTCTCTGGCTTGTTGTAAGGATCAAATGAAGTAGTAATTCTGAAGTGCTTAGCAGACTGCCTAGCACATAACAAGTGCTCCATAAATGCTAACTATTACGCTGTTATTATTATCACTAGCACTACTATTATTACTGTTATTAAGAGAGGTGGCCATCCAAGTTTGGCCTTGACGAACAACGTGCAACGTAAGGTAAACCAAGGATAAACTGACAATATCTGTCTGAATGGCTGGATGCAAAGAGTAGCTGTTAATGATTTTATGTCACTTTTGAGAGCATGGTGCCCCACAGATCAGTGCCAAGCCCTGTGCCACTTAAGACGTTATCAATGACTTCATAAAAATGACAGAGAAAGCAAGCTCATCAAATGTGCTGATGACAGCTCTGAAAGGGACAGCTGACATGCTGAATGACCATCAGGATTCCAAATCTCAACTGGCTAAATCCCTGGGCTTAATCTAATAGCATGAAATTCAGTAAGGATAAGCCAGCAGTCTTATTACACTTGGGTTCAAAAGCCCACTGCAGAAGAACAAAATGGTGAGGGCACGGCTAGGGAGCATTTTTCTGAAAAAGACCTGCACGGTGCCTCAGTGGATAAGGTGAGCCAAAGGTAGAGAGAGCTGACAAGAAATCCTGGGCTACCCCGACAGGTGTGGCCAGGACAGAGGAGCACATGCAGCCAGGACAGAGGAGCACAGCAGCCCTGGCAGACCCTACCTGGAGTCTGTGTGCAGCTCTGCAGGTCATTTTAACTACATGACTGCTCAGTCTCCTGACAATGCAGAAGGTGACCAACAGTATGGTGAGGAGCCTGAGGGGGACGCTGAATGAGGATCAGCTCAAAGGACTGGAATGTTCACCCAGGAGATGAGAAGACTTAGGAGGGGGCATGAGAGCCCCAAGAGGGATCTGACTGTTCTACTGGGCCCCAGAGGCCATGACAAGCCACCATGGGGAGAAGCTGCCAATGCACAAACCGAGGCTCGACACAACAATCCCAGTGTTCTAAAGTCAAACTGGCTGCTTTAAGGGGTAGCTTTGCCCTCCCTGGAGGCCTTCAGGTGAAGGCTGGACAATCAACTTACTGGGCGGGACAGATAAGGGCTCTTTCTGACATGGGTCAGGCTAGATGGCCAGAGATCTCCTTCTCTACTCTGAAATTCTGGCTTTTATCTAATTAAGAGGGCTTCACTAACTTTTCATTAAAATACACACATGCTAGAATTTTCCTGAATTACTCAATTCAGTTTTTTAACATGCTGCTCTTCAATTTAATTTTTGTATGATAATACTAAAAGCAAGTGAAGATGCTATATTCAGGGAATACAGTAAAAATAAAAGACTATGCCTTGGCTTATGAGGTCACAATTTTACCTGAATACAGGAACAGATTCTCTTTCATGCTATCTCTGGCCTAAAGTATTAAGGTAAAATTTATATTATATATTTATATACTTAGCATTATACACTTAAATAACAATGTAATAACATTGAAAAATCAATGTAAAAAGTGAATGAGACAGACTTTTAAAGAAATTTACTGTTTCCTGAAGAATGGTAACTGAATTGCATATCCCATCATAAATAAATCAATAAGCATTTATTAAGCACCCACTATCCTAATAAATACACAATTCAATGATATATCCAACACAGCCCCAACTACTACTGTTTTAAGTAAGACATTAGTTGAATATCCATTACTATTTCAGTTTTTACCTACCTGTAATAGATAAACTCTAATCATGTAGATGAAACTTAGCCCCAAAGTTACAACCCATCGCACAGCTGTATAAGGAGTAGACTTGTCTAACCAGGACTGGTAAATCTAGAAAAGACAAAAATGGTTAAAATGTATATAGAATATAACTCCTGTTAAGGTTTTCCTTTAGTCTAAAGCATCTTTTCTCTACAAATAAAACAATGCTCCACAAACATACTTCATTCATCTTTAAATGCACTCGAGAGCACATGTACATACATACACACACACACACACACACCACCCCCGAATGCAGCAATTAGATCAGAAATGAATTAACAACAAAAAATAGAAACACAAGGACTTTGCTATAAAAAATGCAGCAAAGTTCATCTTGTACTTCTACTTGAGGCAACCTAGTTAATGAAATACCAAAAGAAACCTGTAATGAAGCAATCCAATTTATGAGGTAATTTTTTTCATATAATCCCTGAATTTCATTACTAGGCCCCAGCATATTTCAAAAGGGAAAATGGAGACTTCAACCCATTTTTATTCAATGTATAAAAAAAGAACAATCTGAAAATCAATTACATACTATTATGTATTCACATACATATATGTGTATGTGTGTGTATATATATATATATATATGTATACACACACACACACACACATATGTATATCCTAAGGGGCAACAATTTTGATTCTAAAATGTCACTATAATTATACATTATAATTAAATAATTAATAAAATGTTAATATTTGGTAACACTATTAGTAGTAGAGGACCAACCAATTCATAGATTGGATTCAATCCTGAAAGCTAAGTTTTTAAAAATATACCTGTACAGCATATAGGAAACTGTTGACTGAACTTGTGACATTCAGATGTACTCTGAAATGTGGTTTCACTCATTGTTCAGAGAGGCCAAGCATTAGTGTGCACAGGTGTCCAAATATTAAATACAAGGCCTTCCTTCCTTTACCAATGCCTCTCTCTCAAGCTACTGTCCCCTTCACTCCTCAACTAGACTCCTTCATCCCTTCACATTAGGGCTGTTTCTGAAGGAGTTCTGTAAGGTCACTAATGACACCTTACTGTCAAATGCAATGGGGCCTCTTTTCTGTCCTTCACCTTCCTAACCTGTCTCTGCAGCATCTGACAGAGCAGACCACCCTGTCCTTCTAGCTGCCCCAGCTCCTTCCTTGGCTTCTGTAATGCGTGGTTCTGGTTTTCCTCCTTTCCTCTACCACTCCTCCTGTGTCTCCCCTCTTCCTCCAAAGCCCTTATGGCCTTATGTCTCTGTCTTTCTCTCCTTCCTTTGGTGATATTCTCTGTCTACCTCCCTTGCCTCCATCTACCTTCTCTATGTAGATGACTCTCAAACATCTGTCTGGAGGCAGAGGCAGAGAGAACTCTGGTCCGAACATTTAACACTACTGTCTGGCTCTATGCCACTGTCCTAAGACAGGGGTACCATCCTTTCCTTCGCCATCCTCATTCAATTCCCCTCTATCCTTTCAGGTCCAACACAAACACCATCTCTTCTATAAGCTCTTACCTCTTCCGTAACAACTTTCCCCATCACAAATCACATGGCCTTTCCATTATACCCTCAAATGTACAGTATTTATATACATATCTAGGGCCGGGGGTGTGGACAGAATGGCCCGTGGAGGCCAGGCAGGGGAGCCTGGTACTGAGGGCCTCAATTCTGGGGGCTGGGGCAGGGGGGAGAAGAAAGACACGGGACAACAGAGAGAGAGAACTCTTCATTTCTGACCAAAATATAACTTTCTGATTTTAGCATTCAAAGGTCCTTTAGGATCTGGCTTCAATATTGATTCCTGGACTTGTACTTTCCCCTTCAGGTACTCTTTATTATAGATAAACTGGCCTACTTTACACTCCCCTCACCCTACACTCCACTATTCTCATGTCTCTGGTCATCTGAAAATATCTGCCTCTACAATGTACTCAGCTCACTAATCCTTATGCCAATTAATCCCCAGTATTTAATGTTTGTTAAATAAATAAACCACTTAGCCAAACAATTATCAACAAATGTATACCAAGTGTCTATTGGCTGTAGCAGTGGTAAAGGAACACAAACATACTATCCTGGTCATCGTGGAACTTATAATCTTGTTAGAGAACACAAACCCTTGAAATGCTCAATAACACAAAACTGAAACGATGATTTGATAAGACCCCTGTCAATTAACTGCTAAATAAACGCAACATATTAGGAGTTCAAAGAAAGAAGAGACATCTGTGGACTGGAGTGGTAAGAGAAGGCTTCCTGGAGAAAAGATTTATACTACGTTTAGAATGAGCAGGACTTGGCTATACAGGAAGAATCAGTAAGAATAAAAGTACACAGGCCAAGGGGCAGCTAGGGGCAGAGTGGATAAAGCACCCTGGAGTCAGGAGAACCCGAGTTCAAATCCAGCCTCAGACACGTAACACTTACTAGCTGTGTGACCCCGGGCAAGTCACTTAACCCCAACTGCCTCACCAAAAAATAAAAAATAAATAAAAATACACAGGCCAAAGTGTTTTGTGGACAGCAGTTAGATCATTTTAGGAAATAAAATGTAAACAAAAAGAATAATTCAAGAATTCCTCATCCCTCTCCATGTGAACGCTGATACTCAGAGATGCCTTAACTCTATAATTAACCGTTTCAGGAATACAATTACAAATGATTGTTCAAAATAATTAGTCAATTATTTGCTCTTTCAATTACCCACATAAAACAAACCTGTCCAAGTCTTGTGAAAAATCTAAACACCACAGAAGGCTTCCCATGAACAGAATCTCCAACGCTGTCTCCTTCGGACATTCTGTTGCTGCAAACACACACAAAGTATTCATATGTTAAAGAAACCCAGGATGTTTGAGCAGTATTTATAAGTCAATAAAATGTGCCTGGTGGCTGCATAAAAGTAATCCAGCTGTACTATTTCTAGGGTAAAATGCCAACAACAGACATTTCTTTTCATGCTGGTATAGAAAAAGACTCCTGGGCTGGGAAAATAAACTGCCCTATAGCCAGCAATTTTGATTAACATTGTGATCCTGATGCACATGGTATCACAGATTCTTGGACCTCTAAAATAAAGAAACAATCAGACTGTCTGCTCAATCTCACGAAATAAATATATGACATATTTGGCACCCAATCTTCCACTTAGGATTTATAACCTGTCTTTTTCCAAAAATAAGATATATATGTGGGCTGAATATAAAATAAACAGGACTCAGTTGAGGTATCAGTTACTTTTGCTGAACTGCTTCTTCTTTCCTCTTTAAAAAAAAACTTGTAGAAAGGGATGGCCCACCAGAGAGGGGAGTGGGAAAGAGCTATTTGGAAATGAGGATGTTAAAAACAAGAAAGCAATAAAGATGTTAAAACAGAAGTAAAAACTTCTAAGTATAAACATTCTCCTCTCCTAATTTAAAAATAAAGAGTAGCATTTAAAAATAATTTCCTCTACTGGAAATACCAGGACTCTCAGTTCTATAAATCAGTTTTATTCTTAGTACTTAAAGAAAAAATATCATGTGTACTTCCTGGGAGGTGTCTCAGGTTCTACTTGATAAAACAAGGGCAACAACCTGTTCCTATTAACTTCATTAGGTTATTGTGAAACCATGAGAAATAAAGGAAGCGAAAGCTATTCAGAAACAAGGTGCTAAGTAATAATGTCCTGTAACCATTTTAATATTAAGAAGCCTAACGTCATCATTATCATGAATGGAAATGTCAGAAATAAAACTTAAGCCCTGTCCCTGCCCTTTATCTCCTAGACCAAACTTAAACCAAGGGAAATGCCCCACTTAGGACACATTTCCTTAAAAAGTCAGTTTTTGACATGTAAATCTGCTGGCTCCAGGGTACTGATGTAGATCTTTATAACAGGTCAGAATGGACTCTGAGCAGTGAAACCGTGCCACATCATCAAATTCAAATGGTTAAAAAAGTTCTGAATGTGACTCTATACTATTACTTCCTGGATCTATCACCAATGGGTGGAACAAAGTAATCTGGCACAATACTAATAAAAGCCACTTCAGCTTTAGGTAAAACAAACCTGATAAGCAAAACTGTTAAATTGTGGTTGTGTAGGAAACTTTAGGAAGAGACTTCCATTTCACTAACATTTGGGAAGAGGAAAAAAAAAAAGCTGTTCTAAAGAGAGGATAAATGGCTGTCTAGGAGTAGCTCTCCTACCAGGTCTGACTAGAATAGAGTTCCTTTGGTAATGGCTTCAAAGCCTGCTGAGGAGGACTAAAAAGTCCTAGGACAAGACTTGCTCTAATAATTTTTGTAGCCTTTTACAGCGATTGTCTTGACAAATATGAATACTGTGAATTGCTAGCTTCCTCAAAATTACAAAAAACTTTATAGTTAGGCACCTATAGTAGATTAAACTTGCTGAGTGACATATTTGATAAGATGCCTAGAAATCCCAATATCTAAGGTACTACCTCATCTTTTCACTGTTATCTGTGAAAGGTTACAAAGATTCATTAGCCATTGGCCTGTTTTATATATAACAGAGAAGTCTTATGTGGTTAAGCATTCTTGGTCATTGTCCCCACAATCTTCCTCAGTTTCACAAATGTATACAATGACAACACTATTTAGGCAAAGGGAAGGGAAATCATTAAATTGCATTCCAAAAAGCATTTCACAATATTAAAACATAAGACAAATGCTTCAAGATTTTTTTTTTTCCCACACTTTAGGTGCAGTGGCTATAGAGCTTTTCTACCTAAAGAAAAAAATAAGGCTAGTTTCAAAATACCACCAACAAATGTCTCAAATCATTTAATATACCATACTAAACTGGAAAATTTCAGGAATGTCCAACTTCAAACATACTTAAACAGTTTGGGGAAAGAATCTTACTAAAAGCAAGCACTTGTTTCAATCAGTTTTAGCTCCCCAAGGGAACAAATCAATTGCATTATTTGTTTTACAACTAACGGTCACGGGCTAGAAGTTATAATAGAGGACTTTAGATATTCGATGGAAATAAAAGTGATCCTGACAATTCTGACACACAGTTTATAACAGTCCTTAAAAACAAACAAACAAGTGGTTCACTAGAAGGTTTAAACGTTGAAATTCAAAGACCTAAGTTGATGTCTTCATTTCTTGGGCAATAGCTTTAACCAACAGGGAAAGGATCACAACTTTACATACAATACAATATTAAAAGTCTACCCTATTTTGAAATTATCAGAAATAAAGCCAATAAAGGCTTCACAAAATTTAGGAAGCAATCTATGTTAACAGCTATAGCGATCCTAAACCCAAAATCTAAGTTCATAGAAAAAATTATCCAAAAAAATCCAATTATTATTAAGCTCCATCTATGAGCAGTACAGCACAAATGGAAGTCCACTATCTTTGGTTCTGCAGACATTGCTGCTGTAATTGAGTAAGGGGCAGACATATCTATTTAAAACATCTTTCCGATATTATTTGGACAACTGTTTTCCCATTTTTTTTTTTTTTGGCAACAATTCACATACCCTATTGAAACAATTAAGTACTGCAAACATGAAATGAAGCTCCCAACTGTTTCCAGTATCCACAATCCACGGAAGCTCCTGGGAGAGACTGGGCTCAAGATGACCTAATTATCATCTCAGCATTGTGTGTATATCTATATAGTATGTCATATATAATATGTACATATATGTGCATATTATACATAGTATCTATATTACCAATCAATATTTATTAAGCACCTACTATGTGCACTGTGCTAAGGGCTGTTCTTTGGAGGCATCCTGAGCATGTGTCTGCAGATGACATGTGCACACATACACGCTACATGTGTGTACATATGCACACGACTCACCAAAGTCTTCGGAGAGTGCACACACACAAACTACACAGTATACAGACCCCGGATGACACACGTGCACACATTACACACAGCATGTACACAGCATGTGCACACCCAGTGTGCACGCTCCCTCCGCCGCGGACACGCGGGGCCCAGGCGTGTGCACACTCGGACGCGGTCACAGCCGTGCAGACGGAACGTCTGGTAGGGAGACCAGGGCAGGAGAGCCCACCGAGGCGCCGATTCACGCGTCGGGCTTCGGTCTAAAGCCTGATGGCTTCCGGGGCCGGGGCTGGGGGAGAAAGCATGATGTCTCCCGCCCCTCCAGAGCTCAGCAGCCTCCGCAGTCCCGGGTCACCTCTCGCCGCGCCCCCAGGCTCGGGGGAGAGGCCCGACCCCGGCATCCTCCTCCGGCAGGGAGAGGCGCGGCCGCCGCCCCCCTGGGGTGCAGGCCGCGCCGCAGCCTCCGGCTCCGCCCCGGGCGGGCTGTCAGCTCCGGGTGGGGGTGGGGGGGCAGGAGGAGGGGCCGCCGCGGCCGCTGCAATAGGCCCCGGCCTCGGCCCGAGCCCGAGCCCGAGCCCGGCCCCTCCGCCACGCAGCCGCCCAGCCCCGGCCAGGCCCCGGGCCCCTGCCCCGGCCTAGCGCTAGGCCCCGCCTCCCCCGGCCCCGGCCCCGCACCTCGCTGCGCCGCTGCGGCCGGGCCACGGCTCCCCTCAGGGCCACGGGAAGGAGGAGGAGGAGGAGCGGCCCTGCCGCCGGTTCGCTGGCTTCGGGAGGCTGCCGCCCGGCACTTCCGCCCCCCAGCCGCTCCTCCCGGGCATCCAAGATGGCGCCCCACAGGAGGCGGGGCTGCCGGGCGCCAGAGAGTTCCGCTTCCGGCGCCGGCAGCCGAGCCGTTGGGCCCTGCAGGACCGGTCGCCGCCAACAAGGACAGGGGAAAAAGGAAGAGGGAGCCAGGGGCGGGCCGCACAGGCGCACTGCGCTGCCTGAGAGAGTTTGTTTGTTTTTTTTTTCCCCCTTCTTCTCTCCCGTCCCCTCACCCTCCGCCTCTTCTATAGGTCATCGCCCGAGGTGGAGGCGGAAGCCACGCCCCCTAGCAACCAAGGGCCCAATAGGAGAAGGGACTGCGGTTGTTAAGGCAAACTGTGGCCGGCAAGATGGCCTCGGCTGGCAAGGAGCCTGAGGACTCCCGCTCGCCTTACCAGGGCTCGATGCGGAGGATGGTGCGGGACGGTAACGGCTGTGTGGGGGAGGCCCCTGGGGTCCCGGCAGAGGAAGGGTGGATGAGCCTGACGGACAGACAGGCAAATTGTCACTTGAGACCCCTCCCCCATCACCCCCAGACCCCTCCCCTTCATGGACCCCAGATCCCTCCCCTCAGAGCCCCCGAGCCGTATCCCTATAGGCCCCAGACCCCCTTCCCTCAGAACCCCCACACCCCTCCCCTTAGAGCTCCCAAGCTCTACACCTATAGCCCTCAGAACCCTCAGACCCCCTTCCATTAGAGTCTCGAGACCCCTCCCCTCATAGTACACAGCAGGGGCTTAATCTGCTTGTTGACCAACAATGACTATCAGTTGATATCAATTAGCCAACCAGACTTAATTAGCTTTTAGGAATGGGTATTGACTAAGGGAGCATAGTAAGAACTTAATGCGGTATCAAACGTGTGGGGACACTCTCCCACAAGGGAGTCCTGAGGGAGTGGGCTCTAACTCAGAGCTGGGGGTCACTCCTGGCTCCTGGAAGACCTTCCCTTCCCTTCATGGTACACTTAAGAAGTTTCCCACGGACACAGTGTGGCTTTCTCCTGGCCTCCCAGTAGAGTCCTGAAGCTGCCCTTCCTCCATGGGTCTAGTAGTGTGTCCCCTGCTCCCGATGGAAACATTGCAGTTCCAGGGACACCCTTGCAAAGTCCTCTAATCTTCTGACCTTTCCTCTGGTCAAGGGGGCAGAGGATATAGGGTCCTGACCACTGTCAATGGGAATTCCAGTCCTACAAATTCCCACAGGAGATTGCAAGGACAAATGTGGTGAACTGATTCATAGGAGCACCTCCACCCCAATCCCCCACTTTTACACCCTTCCTTTGGGTGTTGGTAATAGAAAGGATAAGCTTTGTGCTGCCTGGCAAGGTTGGTTACAGAATGTAAAGAGGAAAAAAAACACTCAGGGGGTGAAAATAGCTAAAGAGTCCTGCTTGGCAGCTGGCCTAAGTCCATCCTAGTGCATCATGGGGCTGCTAGCCTATTTTTTCTTTTCTTCTTTTACATATATAAAGTTCATAGGATCATTAAAGGAGAAAGAAACCTTAGAGGATATAAAGTATGATCAACAATACAAAGTAAAGAAAAGAGAGTCAAAAAGATAATCTACAGGAGGAGTTCCCAAACTTATTTGACCCACTGTCCTCTTTAAAAAAAATTACTCAGTGTCCCCCTGGAAATCTACTTTCTTTAACCCTTTAATGGTTTTTTTAATTGTCATTTCAAAAAATATGAAATATATATTTTTAAATGACACATCTTAAATTTAGTAATTTATTATAAATTTGTGGGGTTTTTTCCTTGCATTGAAATTTTGATGATGCAATATTGTGTCATTTAACCATATGGTATCATATTGTAAACAAGTTATTACATGAACATATTCCTGCCAGTGCATGCTGGACTTCCTGACAATGCTGGCCTGCCAACACTTGCTTGTTAAGACCTGTGGGCAGACCTGACCACTGATTGGTTGTAACTTGCATTTCGTGTGTTTATTTGGAAAATAATGTAATCACTATGGCTTTAGCTGTGTTACACAACAGATGAAACATGTAAAAAAGGTTTTTCAAAATTTTCTTATCTTCTTTCCTTATGCTTCCACTGCCCCCTTATTTTTTTTATTCAATGCCCCCAATTGCACCAGAGGCTACTACCACCCCCCTGGATCTTACAAGTACCCATCCAAGGGCAGTATCACCCATTTTGGGAGCCTATGAACAACATGAAGTCATCATGGAACAACAAGAAAAAAACTACAAACACTGGTCAAATACAGTGGTCAATATTCATATCATATTGTCAAAACTAAAGGACAAAAAAGGACTTTTTTTTGTTAATAATCAATTCCCTCCCCTCCAAAGTACAATGTATTGTACAGGTTTTGTTAGGAAGTACGTGTTGTATCAAAACAAAGTGTGGCTAGGGCTGGGTCTCATCTTCCTTCCTACCCTTGGAGGCCTTATATTCAGTTTTTCTTTTTCAAATTTTCTTTTTTGTTCCTTATGACCTTGACAAACATTAACAAACACGAACATTTCAAAATACAAAGGATAGAAAAAGGATTCTGTTTGAAGTTGTGAATTTCTGTTATGTATAGATTTTTTAAAAAGTATAAAATTTGGTTTTGGGTTTTTTTAAAAATTCTGAACTTAAACACACACACACACACACACAAAGCATTTCCATGAATATAGCAGAACACAAAAAGAAAATCCTGCATGAAACCATGAATATCCATTTCATACTACTTGCTTTAAAAAATTATAATTATTATAATATTATGTTATAATTATATTCTAATCAATATATGACATAGCATTATAACAATATTATGTTGTAATAATGATTTCAATGCAACAAAATATACTGTAATTATAACACTATATTCTGTAATATAATTAATATACAAATTATAATAATTATGATAAATGATTATGATAAATTGAACATGCCACTTTCAGAACTGTTTTGCTTTTGTCTATGCTTCCTTCAGTTTTTTTCTATGAATTTAAAAATGTCATAATGACCCTCTTTTCTTTTTTTGCCATCATTATTTCTAACTTCACCACTCCCCCCATTAAAAACCAAGAGGAAGAGTGAAGGAAAAAATAAAAACTTGTAATAGAGCCAAGCAAGATGAGCCCACATGGTAGCCATGTCCAAAAATAGGTCTCTTTCTGTGTCTGGTTTTCATCGCCTATTAGTGCTGGGGTAACATAATTCATCGTAGATCCTCTGGAGATGAGGTTTGTCATTGCATTGATCACAGTTCTTAAGTCCTTCAAAGTTATTCTTTATTTCCTATTTTGATGCCCTGGTATAAATTGTTTTTCTTGATCTGCATCAGTTCAAACTACCCAGGAGTCTCTGAAATTGTCTCCTTTGTCAGACCTTATGGCACAGTACTCTTCCCATTCTATTATTACCACAATTGTTAACCATTTCCCAATTGTCTATGAGGCAATCTAAGGGACCCTATTAGATTCTAATTCTTTGCTCTTCTCCTCTCCCCTTTCAATCCCCATTTTGAAATCAGGAAATTTGTTCTGCTTATGACTCTTCTCTTTCCAATAGTATCCTCCGTCTTATTCTCACCCTTCCCCTCTTCCCCTATCTTTCCTTGTTACCTTTTTGACTTGGATGTCCTTCAGGTCTATAGTTTTTGATATTGGGTGTCTTGCTTTTTCTGTTTTTTTCAATCTTTTTATTTTGTTGTAATATTTCTTGCTGTCATGTGGAGTCATTGGTGTTCCGCTTAGTATATTCTGGATTCCAGGGAGACCATTTCTTGAGGAAAGCTTACACTTTTTCTTTTTAGCTATTTATTTTCCTTCCAGTTCTTTTCTCCAGTTTTTATTTCCTCTTAAACCTCTTCTTCATTTCTACTATGTGTTCATGAAGTCCTTGTGTAAAAACCACTTTTTCCCCCTGTGAGTTTTTGCTTTAAAATGTTATGTAGTTACTCTCTCCTTTTGGGGGAGCTTGGATTTACAGCAATGTGTTCATTGATTTACTTCTCTCTCTAGTTTCAATTCTGGAATGGAGGCTTTGTACAGAGCCTCCCACCATACATGCGTTACAACTTACAGTGATGCCATTATAACTTGGCAATATTTTGGGTGTCATGCATACTGTGATATTTTATTATTATTTTAATCACCTGTGTATTTCCATCACGTCAAAAGAAGAAAAGAAAAAAAAAACAGTTTCATTGCAATTTTTCTGAGCTGAGGACCAAGATGGAAATTTTTCTGAACAAGAAGGACCCCCATCAACCACCATCATCAAACACTGAATGGCTTTGGAAATTAGCTTTTATCACCAACTTGATAATGTGTCTTAATTCAACCTAAAATCACAAGGCAAAACAGCAATTGTATGCAAAACTTACGTCAATTCGACAGTAACTAAGGTTTGACTCCCAAGTGAGGTCAAGCTGTTTCATCTGCTTTTTGTGCTGTCCGTAACTAAAGCAAGAAGCTAGAACTCTATTCCCTCACAAACTTGCAGCTTCAGGACTCTACTGAGAGGCCAGGAGAGAACTACGCCGTGTCCATGGGAACCTTCTCAAGTGTACCTTGAAGGGAAGGGAAGGACTTCGAGGAGCCATGAGTGACCCCTCACCCCCACCCCGGCTCTGAGTTTGAGCCTGCTCTCCCCAGGACTCTGAGTAGCCTTGTGGGAGGGTGTGTCCCCAGCTGGAGTGGCACGTTTGACATTGGCTGTAGTTCTTACTATGCTCCCTTAGTACTCATTCCTAAAGACTAATTAAGTCTGGCTGGCTAATTGACATCAATTCAGAGTCATTGGAGGGAAGCCCATTGTTGGGATCTTGTGAGCTAAGAGGTTTGTCCTATTCCTGATCCCTTCACTCTGGTCAGCAGGCTTATATGCCTGTTAGGAATAGGGTCGTCATGTTGGGATGCACGTGAGCTACTGTACTAAAAAATCACCCCTCACCCTTTGGAGTTATCCCTAGAATCCTGAGAGGTGAACTAGCCGTCTGCCCTTGGAGGGACCTAGATTGCCACTATGAATGGGGATTTGGGGAAGTAATCCCGGAGCCTAAGCTATATTCTTTCTTTTTTTCATCCCTTTCACTAACTCTCTCTTCCCTTTCAAACTTCCCACTCCACAGATTAAATCCCTCCTTTGTCACAAACAACGGCAGCTAACCAAAATCAATCAATCCTACACTGGCTGTGTCTCATTTACACCTGCACTACACCACCCTGCCTAGAAGTGGGACACAGGCTTCTTTCTCTCTCCTATGGAGTTAGGACTGATCGTTTCATTGGTCAGATTTCTTTAGTCTTCCGAAGCATTTTCCTTCACAATTTTGTATTCCTCACATGTTATGGTTCTGCTTACTTAAGTCTTTCCAGGTTTCTCTGAATCCATCCCGTTTGTCATTTCTTACGGCACATTAATATTCTGTAATATTTCTATACCGCATTTGGTTTAATCATTTCTTAATGGATGGGAATCCACTGTGTTTCTAGTTGTTTGCCATAACCAGTAGTGTTTCTAGAAGCATTTTTGTACATCTGGTTCCTTTCACTGTGTCTTGGATCTCTTTGGGTCTATGCCTAGTAGCAGTATCGCTAGGTCGGAAGGGTAGGCATAGTTTAGAGATTTTCAGTTATGGTTCTAAACTGCTTTCTAGAATTGTTCGACCTCTTCACAGCAATATGACCATTGCATTAGCATGCCTGTCCTCTCACAGACCCTCCAACAAATCATCATTTTCCATTTTCATTACCTTTTTTTATTGAAAGGGCAAGGTGGAACATCAGAATTGCCTTAATTTGCAAGAAATTTAATTTCTCTTCCTTTTGGTGATTTGGAGTATGTTTTTATATGGTCGCTGAAGGTGCTAAATGATAGTGTAAAGATAGAGATAGCCCACCCTAGAGAAGGAGCTTTGGTGGCTTCCCGCTGTAGCCTCCTCCCAGTGCTTTCTTCCTTTCAAATGTGTAATTTGACAAACATTTACATGTAATTGATTCTGTGGGAGGGAGACACAACAGGGTTTGACAGTTGCCTGCATGTGAGTGAGGTGAGGGAGGGTGAAGATTCTACACTAATCTCAGGCTGCAAACCTGGGAGACTTGCGGGATGGTGCTGGACCGGACAAAGAGTAAAAACTCAGTAGCATGGGGGTCGGGGACACCAGGGATAGGGAGCAGGAGTTGGAGGAAGATAATGAATTGCGTTTTGGACATACTGAGTTTGAAATGCCTATGGGACGACCGGTTTGAAATATCCTCTAGAAAGTTGGCAGTGTGGGGAGTGGAGCTCAGGAGAGAGACTAGGGCTTGTTCAGTTATTTAGTTGTTTTTCAGTCACATCCAACTCTTCTGGCTTTCTTGGCGGAGATACTGGAGTGGTTTGCTATTTCCTTCTCGAGGTCATTTTACAGATGAGGACACTGAGGCTAACAGGGTTAAGTGACTTGCTCAGGGTAACTGAGCTAGGAAATGTCTGAGGACATAATAGGCACTTTAATTCTTGTTGCTTGATTAGGTAGAAGAGCCCGGGATGGAATCCAAGTTTCTCAGGGGAAGGAAGGCTGGAATAGATGGAAGCAACATGGTTTGGAGCTGGGCAGAGATGGGGGGGCAGCTAAGTGGCTCAGTGGATACAGCTTCAGATCTGGAGTCAGGAAGACTCAACTTGGTGAATTCAAATCTGACCTCAGACACTTCTAGCTAGTAAGTGACCTGGGCAAGTCACTTATCCCTGTTTGCCTCAGTTTGTTGTTCAGTTGTGCTCGACTCTTCCTGACCCCATTTGGGGTTTTCTTGGCAAAGATACTGGCGTCATTTACCATTTCCTTCTCCGGATCATTTGACAGATGAGGAAACTGAGGCACAAGGATTAAGTGACTTGCCCAGGGTCACACAGCTAGGAAGTGTCAGAGGCCAGATTTGAACTCAAGAAGATAAGTCTTTCCGACTCGGTGTACTATGGCTCCACCTCGCTGGCCCAGACTAGGGCACGAGGGCTAAATGTTTGAGACTAGAAGATATACAATAGAGATGATAATTGAACCTGTGAGAACTGATGGGGTTATCTAAAGAGAGTATAGAGAGCAAAGTAAGAGATCCAGGACAGAACTTTGGGGGTGCGCCCACGTTGAGAGGACATCATACAGACCAGCAAAGGAGATCTGAGAGGGAACAGGTGAGCAGGTAAAATGAGAATCGAGATTCAATCCAATTCAATAACTATTTACTAAGCATCGTTTCTGTGCGAGGCACAGTGCTTAGCTGGCAATTTAATGGGAAAAGACAACCTCCAAAAGGAAGCTGGAAGGGGAGAGGGCACCCCAGGGTGTGGGGCATCTTGTTCCATTGAGTCGAAACCAGGCAGAGGATACAGAGGGAGGGTGGCGTGTGCTGGAAGTTCAGCCTCTGTCCTCTATGAAGGAAAGCTTTGGGGGGAGTTTAGTTCTGCAACATGGAGGGGAAGGAGGCAGCCAGAGTGGGGTATCCAAAGTTAGAGCTGCGGCATGGTGATGAGATTCCAAGTAGGGGCAGAGCAGCAGAGGCAGAGGGGAGACAGGAAATAGAATCAGTAGAATGTAAACTCGAGGGCGAGGACCCCGCCTGGATACAGTGCCTGGCACACCCTAAGTATGTGATAGATGCTCATTGAACTACATGGAAATACATCTGACCTCTCTTCTGTCTTCAGGTTATGGGCACTATCTATACCAAAATACTTTCTTTCGATATGAAGGAGAATGGAAAGATGGGAAGAAACATGGTAAGAACAAGAGATGCAGCCATTGTCAACAGAGAATGAAAACTGGTTCATAGTCTAATAAAAATGAAAAGGTAGCTTTTAAAATGTTGGCTCAATCTTCTAAAATGCTGGCAACTTCTGGGCTTTGCAGCCATTCCCTCAAATGGCAGCCCAGGGAGCTGGAAAATGAGTAGAGTCCATAGGAGACATTTGTAGGATGTTCAGTCATTGACATTCTTTTCGATGAATCAGACCTATGTTGTATCCTTTCTGAGATTGTGTGGAATATCATTGTTTCTGCTCAATTTCAATTTGCCTATCTTGTCCCACGGTTTGTTTTCTCAAAGCTTTACCTGGATGAAGGACTTTTTTTAAGTCATTTTTTCTTTACTCATTCTGTAACATTACTGTGCCTATGGAACATATTTTCATTTTGTCATCGTACTAAGAGATAATGATTATCAAATGTGTATTCTGAGGGCATTTCTAGAAGGACTCCCGAGGTTCCTGAAAGATCCTAAGCTAAATATTAATTGCATTTTAATGCCTTTATCATAATCTCACACATTTGACTGAGATACAACAATATCAAAATGCTTAGTAATATTTTGGTTAGCATTGTGGAAGTATCTGGACAGCTGTGTTCTCTGCAGACTGCTCTGTATTCCAAGTGACTTTCAAAGGTCACATGATGACTTTGTGTGGTGGGCCTAGATAAAAGAACCAACAATTCTTGAGGCCAAGTTCCCAGCTCTGAAACCCGAGTATTTACCATCTTAAAATTTATTATTATAGGTAAAAGGTTTTCATATTTTACTAAGCTGGAATTTGAATTACGATGATGTATGTGAATCATTTTGCAAACCTTAAAGATACTAAATAAATGTGGATGATTATTATCATTTCATTAGGTTATGGAAAATTGTTATTTAAGGATGGAAGTTACTATGAAGGCGAATTTGTGGATGGTGAGATCATAGGAAGGGGACAGCGTTACTGGGCATCATCAGGTCAGCTTTCTTTGGAGTGGGTTCTGTTTGCTAATTTTCACAAAACATCTGTATTGTCAATGGATCCCCAGCTTTTGAAGGGCCCAGGAAGGATTTTCTCTCTGTAATTTGAGATAAAAGATTGAGTGCAGCGGCTGTATTCTACGAGGAACCCCATGCATACAGTGGCAAAAACTCTTGAGAAGTTCAGTAAATACTCTAGCAAGTAAGAGTGTTAAGATCCTGATGTGCTGTTTGAGTCCATTCAGTTCAACAAGACTCTACTGAGTGTCTTCAGATGCAAGAGCTTATAGCCCTGTTGCCAAATTGGATTTCCCTAGTTCACTTTGTGGTGAGGGGAAAGAACAGTTAACTATTCTTTCTCCCTCCCCTTTTCTTTTAAGTTATTAAAGACACATTTCATCTGTAGGGAAGTGAGGGAGAAAGAACAGAAGACTCTAATGGCATCAGCTTTATATTGTAATCAAGAACATTAGCTCTGCATAATCAGGAACCCTAGCAGAAAATGAGTTTTCAGGGTTGTCTGGGTTTGAATAAAAAATTCTTAAAGAATTTGGTACAAACTCTCACGAGGTCATCCTCTGCTGGAGTTCTGATTTCTATTCCCTAACAAATACAGAGCAGATCAGGTATTCTGTGAATGATTTGGATCCATACCATGCCTTCAGGCTGAGAGTGGTCAATCCATAGCCACACTTCACATTTCTAGGCGCAAATCCAGAAGATGAAAAGGACTACACACACACACACACACACACACACACACACACACACACCACTCAAAGGGGGCTAAAGGAGACACAACATTGAAGTACTTCTTACACTAACCATGAAGGGGTTTCAGGAACGTTTCTTTGAGTCTTAGAACTGATATCTTTTTTTTTTTTCATTTTGCCAGGCAGTGGGGTTAAGTGACTTGCCCAAGGTCACACAGCTAGTAAGTGTTATATGTCTGAGGCCGGATTTGAACTCAGGTCCTCCTGACTCCAAGGCCAGAGCTCTATCCACTGCTCCACCTAACTGCCCCAAGAACTAATATCTTTTTTTAAGGACCTTTAATTTTCCCAACCTGAGGGAACATGGATTATCATTCATTAGTTTTAAAATAAAGCCCTAATGACCCTGTTCCCCCATTCATTACACAGAGTAGGTAATTTTAAAAAAAAGAGAGAGAGAGAATTAGTGATTCATTCCAACAGTGCAGTGTTGACTCCTGTTGGTCTACAGGCAGGAACCTCATTGTTATAGCACCTGGGACGTTAAAAACAAAAAGAAAAAAAAAAGAAAAACCATTGATGAATCTGAAAATACCTTTTTTCCTTTCCCTTTTATCTGATTCCAGGAAACACTTATTCTGGGCAGTTTGTTTTAGGAGAACTTCAAGGGCACGGAATAATGAAGTACAAAGATGGTGGAAAATATGAAGGGGAATTTTCCCACGGAGTGAGAGAAGGTGTGTTTTTGTTTAAGCATATTTAACCATTATTTATAATTATCCAGAAGATGCTCATTGCCAGCTCCGGCCTCCAGTAAATGTTTTGATGTCCTCCATCCCCAAAGATTTCTGGCATTTTTGGACAAAGATCTGGTCAGAGCCCAACTGCCTCTGGCTGACTTCATCAGCCGTGACTTGCAGGTTCAGACTTTGGAAACACAGTGTGACAGATTGGGGTCTTTTCCTATCTCTGTATCCATGAGACAGTTTGGATCAGTTTAGGCCCACCTGTGGTGTTGCCCGATTGGAACTGAGGCTGATTCGGCCTCCGCTTGGATCAGATCTGGAGACAGTATGAGAGCGCTCTCGAATACTCGCTTGCTTACGTCGGCTTTCTTGATAAATAGGAGGCAGTGAAACGAACGAATGACAAACTCTCTGTTGTTTTGGTTTTTTTGTATTTGACTTGTGCTTGGGGTTTTGTCAATATGGGGAACCTCCTGGTGTGGAGGATCCTTCCACACATGCAGATTGGCCACTCCTCTGTGTCCTGGTCTTGGAGAGTTTTCTGGGAGGCTGAGAGATTAAGTGACTTGCGTATAGCAATACGTTTGAGGCAGACTTGAACCCAGGTCTTTATGATTCCAAGGCTGGCCCTCTATCCATAATGACATTTCACCCGTCATCCCTTCCATAGCTCCTGTAAGTCCAGGCGTATTTGATTTTAAACACAAATCTGATGGTCATCTTAAGTATCCTTTGCTCAGATCAAAAATTTCTAAAGCATAATCTTTGCAAAAAGATTCAATTTTTCAACTTCTCTCCCAATATCTAACAATATTCCCATAGATTCTGTTTTCTCTTGTACCTTTGTATTTAACTCCCTTATTCTGAAGGTCACTACCCCAATGAGTCCTATGTAGTTTGTTGAGTTTCCAGTGACCACATTCTGATAAAACACTCAAAACTTCCCCTTCTGATAGGTTATAGGTTGAAGATAAAAAAGATATAACCAAATATGAGAGAGAAAGCGTGTTCATTGTGAAAGACACCAAAAAACTCTGGATGTCACAACGATAAAATGTTTTAATAATAATTTGCAAAAATCTAGGTTCCGGTTAAGGGTCTCTGGCTGAAAGGCAATGATGACTTGTTTTTCTTTACCCAAGTAGACCAGCTCTTTCCTCATTTTTCTTTTAGCCTTTCCTAGTTCTCATTCTCCTTGGCCTACCCGTCTGTAGTGGACACTCTGGATTACCCTTTCCTCCTGGATACTCCAGGTTGTCATCACCCTGCTCTCTCATGGGTGTTCTCCCATCTGTCCAACTGGTCCTTCTTGTCTTCTCTGCTGGTTCTTTATCTAGGTCACTGTGTTTACTGGTGGGAGTCGCCCAAGGCTCTGTGCTGGGCCTTCTTCTCTCTCCTGTCTCAATTGGTGGTCTCACCAGTTCTCATGGGTTCCATTATCATCTCTATGCAGATGATTCATAAATAGACGGATGGATAGATATCATTATATATACATAATATATCATGATATAGTTACACATGTCACTATATATTTTGCTATCTATATCTATACATCTATAGATGAAGATATGTAGATTATACAGATATAGATAGGTATCTATAAATAAAGATATATACACACATATTTGAGGAGAAAGAAGATTTTATATATATATATATATATGTACACACATACATACATATACATATTTTAAATCTATCTATATCCATATCTATCTATCTCCCTAGGCTCTCTCCTGAGCTATAGTTCCACAGTACCAATTACCTTTTGAATGTCTTGAGCCCTTGAATTGGCCTGTCTTAGAGGCAGTTCAAACTCAACATGTCTAAAACAAAACTCATTCTCTTTCCCCATAAGTCCTCTTCTCTTCGTAATCTCCCTAAAATGTTCAAAGGTGGCACCGACCCCCTGGTCATCAAGACTCATGACCTTGTTGTGTATCTAGCTGGTACAGCGGCGAGAGCTCTGGGCTTGGAACCAGGAAGACCTGAGTTCATATCTGATCTCAGAGACTTACTGCTGTGGGACCCCCGGCAAAGTCACTTATCTCCCTTAGCCTCATTTTCCTCATCAGAAAAACGGGCATAATAATGGCACCTACCTTCCAGAGTTGTGGTGAGGATCAAATGAGAAAATGTTTATAAAATGTTTTGCAAACCTTAAAACACTAGATAAATGCTAGTATTATTGTTGTTATAATTATCCTGGCTCCAGGTTCTCGTTACACATAGCCAAATAGTTGCTAGATATCGTCATTTCTACCTTTCCCACATCTCTTGTATAGATCCCCTCAGACAGCCACAACCCTAGTTTGCACTCTTATCATCTCTCACCCAGACTTAGACTAGCCTTCTCCCTGCTCTCCTGGCCTTCTATCTCTGCCCACTCTGGTCCCTCCTCCATTTAGCTGATTTTTCTAAAGTGTGGTCTGCCCATCTCACTGCCCCTGCTCCATGAGCCTCAATGGCTCCCCATTACCTCCAGGATCAAATATCAACTCCTTTGCTTGAGCTTGAAAGCTCTTGACCATTCTGCCCCTTTCTGTCTTTCCAGCCTCCTTTTCCTCCTCTCTCCTTCACGCCCTCTGTCTCCCAGCAGCCCCAGCCTTGTTGCCATCTCAGAGTAGGCCCTCCAATGGTTCCTTGTGCACCATTCACCATCTTCAGTCTCCCCACCTTTGTAGTGCCTGTCCCTCACACCTGAAATTCCCTCTCTCCTCACATCGGCCTCCTAGCTTCCCTGGCATCCTTCAATATTCAGCTCAAATCCTACCTTCTGTACAAGGCCTCTCCTCACATACTAATGCTTTCCATTCCAAGTTGCCTTCTGTTTACTCTGCATATAGTGTATATACACCTATTTATTTACCTATGATCTTCTTCATTAAAACATGAGCTCTTTGAGGGCAGGGAGATAAGGATATATAGATCTAGACATATCCATATATAGATATCTCTATGTATCTCCACATATATCTATATCTATCTATATTTGCCCTTTTTGTATCTCTAGCTGCATAGCACAGTACCAAGCACACAATAAGTGCTTAATAAATGCTTGTTAACTGACTGACTGAACTTCTTCTTCATTATTTACATCTGGAGATACCTGTTGATATCTTCTAACACAGAAGAGAAAAGAAGAAAATCTCTCCTTATAACTTACTAGAACCCATGTCCTATAATCTGATCCCTGAGGTCTAATTCCAGTATATGAAGACCCTGATATCTCAGTGATATGGGTGGTCCCTCCACTGATCTGCTTCTTCCACATTCCGTTCCATTAATTTACACCTCCAAGTGATTGCCTATTTTTAAAAGATGCCAAGTGAAATCCAAATGTTTCTTTATCACTTTTAGCTACTTAACAACTGATTTAAACTAAAATTATTACAGATTCTGAGATTCAAGAAATCACAGATAAACCCTCAAATTATAAAGTCACAGAATGTTCAATGGCACCTCCTTTTACAGGTGAGAAAACTGGGCAAAATAGGATGAGTGTATCTATACTTCATAAAAAATTCCTGGCTCAGCTAGGTGGCACAGTAGGGGCAGCTAGGTTCCACAGTGGATAGAGCTCCTGCCTTGGAGTCAGGAGGATCTGAGTTCAAATCTGGCCTCAGACATTTGATACTTACTAGCTGTGTGACCCTGGGTGAGTCACTTAACCCCAGTTGCCTCCCAAAAACAAAAACAAAAACAAACAAAAAAAAATTCCTAAAGTGGACCCAGATCCCTACTCCTCATACAAACTGCTAGGATGGTACTTTGATTATTGTTACTGAAAGTCATTCAGAAACTATGATTTTAATAGTTTTGGTTAAAAGTTAATCCAACTGCCTATGGCACTTCACTTTTTTATTTTGTCAGAAAGGAGAAATGACAATGGAAATATTCCCATGACATTTCTGGGCTTTTCAGAACCACCTGAAAACAGCAAAAACTTTGATGAAAACCATATTCTCTTGAAATTTTTACTGGGCCCCTCAGGTGAAAACCCATTAAATGGACCATCCAAACTAAAGCATCCCTGTCCTTATTTCAAAGTGAAGATTTCGTCTGTAGTTAAAAAACAAAAACAAAAACCTTCTTGGCTAGAGCTCACAGTTTTTTATCATAGCCATAAGGTGTGACTTTTTTTGTCGTGTGAATGAATTTTTTTTCCCTTTTCTTTAGGGCATGGGTCCCTGATTGATAAAAATGGACAAGTTTACAAAGGCTCGTTTCATGAAAATAAAAAGCATGGTGTGGGACAGATGACCTTCAAGTAAGTCTGATTGATTCATGATCCCTAAGAAAATTGTTTATCTCCTATTGTGTCAAGTCCAAAAAGAAATTCACAAAGTCCAGGCTTCCTCTTGTGCATTTTTCTCTACCTGTACTTAATAGATTCATTGAACACTTTAGGCATATTTCATAATTGATAGGACTGCTTTGAGTTTTGTGTGTGTGTGTGTGTGTGTGTGTGTGTGTGTATGTGTGTGTGTAGAATCACATATCTTGAAGAATGCTGATATGTAAAAAAACACTTTTAGCCATAGTTTTGACTCTCTATAACACTCATATGCTAGTTAAAATACATTTTTAAACTGCTCATTTCTTTGTTAAAATCAGTCACCACCATGCTTGTTTAATAAGAAAAAACATATAACCTTTTTTTTACCAAAAAAAAAAAAGCCTCTTGCCTCTTCCCACCCTCCCCAAACCTTATAACCTTATCCTACAAGAGTATCTATCTTGATAATAGTCTCAAGATCACTCAATATCTGTGTAGATTATACAGGAAAAGCTTGTAAGCAATTTGAAAGATGACATTCTCTGGCAATATATAGACTTTCTCCTTTCAGAAGCAAGGCATAATGTTATATGTTTTAAACATATTTAAAACAAAATCTTAAGGCAGATTCTCATATGCAAAATTCTGCTTGTGGCATCCTTATATGTAGGAGAAACTAGCTAATCTACTAAGAAATATGGAACCACCTTTTCCTTTTTATTGTTTTACATTCTTTTTTAGTGGAACTTGCCAATACCATACCTTTTCAACAGAATAAAACGGTCTGCACTGATGGAAATAAAGAATGTTGGTAACCTCCCAAGAGTGAGGGAAATATTGATCTTCCTGTACCATACGCAGGCCAGTCCCAGCCTTTGTCTAAGAGTCACAGCCTTTCCTGCAAGTGACTTAGCAGCAAGGTTGTCAGGACTTTTCCTTCTTGTGGGCCTTCCAAAACCAGGGACGAGGCAAAAGGTAGGGTTTCATAAAGAGCCATCTGTGCGGTATCTATTTTTGCTTCAGTTGCTGGTGGAAGAGTCTTGAACACTCGTCACAGGAATCAATCTGAATCACTCCCTGTCAGCTGGTCTCCCACTTCCCAGGGCGAGTGCCAAAATCTTGTTGGGAGACCCATCAACTCGTCTTGTATAGGATTCCATGATCGTGAGGGAACCATGTGCCACCCATCAGCAGGTGACGAGGTGGAAAGGCCTGGGCCAGCAGAACGTTCTGTCTAACCAACTGGTCAGCCCCTTGCCTCCAGCCTGATTCCTTTCTTTCTGTGATTTAGCAATGGCGATAAATATGAAGGAGACTGGATTCTGGACCAGCGACAGGGGCACGGGGTGCTGCACTCCGCGGACGGGTCGACTTACAAGGTATCTGGGAAGCCTCCTCAGGGAAGCCACATGAGGGGCCCCTCCAGGGGGGGATGGGCCACGTCCAAGCAGATCGTTCCCTTAAGCAGTTGACACGTGTTCCTGGTTCTCCAGGCTGGTATGGAAGTGAACCTGTGTGACCTTGGGCTAGTGCTTTCCCTGCTGTGGGCCTCCATCCTTCATCTGCCAGTTTAAGAGCTGAATGAGATGGTGTTGAAGGTCCCCCATCCATCCTTAGCTCCGTGTAGCCCGTGAGTTGGCTCATCAGTCCTCTGCTCTGGGAAAGCAGAGAATTCTGTCTGAACAGAATTTCCACTCGGGGGCCTTTCCCCATTCATATCACCGTGCCATGGGAACAATAGGGCACTCATGAGTCTTTGCTACATGAATTAATTTAATGGCCAGTGTTGCATTTCCCCATCATTTCAAGGAGGACCTCTTGCTGCTGATGTGAAGCCGTTACACTTTGGGCAAAATGGCGTTAGGGTTTTATACAATGCTCCATCTTCAGGGTGCTTCACCTGCTCAGAGAAGGAAATTATCTCATGGCCCCAGTACAGTCTGCCTTCAGGTTGTTTCTTTAGTAGACACAAATTGTTTTATTTTCTAAACCTCAGATCAGAGGCCACAGTGGAAGAAAGCCACAAGGAGAAACCCTTGCTAGGTTTATGTAAGAATGAGAATTTGCTTTCCTGGCTCCCTTCCACACCCAGAGAAGTGCCTAACGTAGAGTTTTCTTCCCTGTAAAGAGGGTACATTGCAGTGCCCTTCAGAACTGGAGCAGTCAGGAGCGATTGGGCTCAGAGTGAAAAAAGGAAACTCGGGCAATGGGAATGATATTGCAGTTTTGGAACAATCGCAGTCTTTGGCTTCCGGGAAGCCTGTTTTTATCATCTATACAGTATTTCCTTGAGGTAGGCAGGAAGGCTGGCAAAAGTGAGATTTGAGGCACAGGTTTTCACGCAGAAGAGCAGGCCCTCCCCCGGCGTCCCTGGGAGCACATGACCTGTCGCATCTCATTGCCCAAGAAATGTAAGATGCCATTCATGCGTGAATCCAGGAAGTAGCGAGCTACACCTGCTGATTATCTATCTGTTAACATGTCTGCCATGCTCCAGGCCCCAGAATGCCTCACTGGGATGATTTCAAGTGCTTTATTCTCCGTCCCCAGGAAAAACAAATGGCCGTGAAAATAACAAAATGCTTTGCCAACAGCAAGTGACCTTCCAGTGACTTACGGTCTTTATCTGCCTGCACCTTTTGGCTTGTCTGCACGGTCCTCAGCTGCGTCCCCCGCAGGTTTGTGGGAAGGCGCGGCACCGCCCGGTTGGCCACCTGGCCTAGCAGCAGGTTTCAGTCACTCTGTCTGCCTCGTCACTGGGAGCGTCCATAGCTACTCATTTGCCGTGGGCAGCAAGTGAGGGAGCCAGGGCATGGGGATATGGATGTGGGTACCTCCTCCTTCTGGGTGCCTAGGGCAGGACCCCAGGCCTGGGGCAACCGAGTCGCTTTTGCCTCATACAGGAAAGATTGTCCACCCTTCTAGAACAGCATTGAGTCCGTAAGAAAAGATTTATGGGCACGCTGATAGCAGGGGAGCCCCATTTCTAGTTTCTTCTGAAAGACAGCTCAATGGTCGGTGCTGGATGGTACTTCCAGCCATGGCCTCCTGCTGGTGTTGGCAGCTTAATTCCACTAGGTGGCTCTGTAGCATCGGGCTAGGGTCTCCCTGCCTGGGAGTGAGAGGCTCGCTTCTCCCTTTGGGGTTGTAAATGTTTAGAACTATACTTACATTTACAATTTAAATGTGCTCAAAAGTGGGGGAATACGTTCAGTGGGAACATGTCACCCAGTTTGGGCTCCAAACAATGCTTTGCTGATTTATTGCTGATTTATTAAGGATTCAAATGGAAACTCACAGATTTATGAAATGTGCAGAAAATAAATTTCAATAAAAACATACTCTTAGAATTCCCCTCACACATGCGATTTTAAAGAGTGCACTGGTATGTCAGAAAGTAATAAAAACGAGGAAATTCACAGGGACGTTTGCTATCACGATTTAACTGCTTGTACTGTCTTAACTGTAATGTATCATACTGTCATTAGGCATGCACAACCAGTCTATAAACCATGTCAATCTGCCTAACAGAAGCCTGCTAAGGACTGCACAGTGTTCTGAATCCCTTCGCTTGTTAAATGGGTATTTTCTACTTATGGGCCCCATACAAATTTGAATCACGTTTCTTCATAGTTCTCAAAGCTTGGTGCTCCTTGGTGTGATTTGTAAGTACGGGATTTGTAAGAATGGTTCTCTGTCCACATTGCATTTCTCCTACATTTTATCTAGTTTGGCAGTTTCTGAGGTTTCCTCTCCAATGTCAGAAGTTGTCGACAGTACCTGAGTGTTACAGCTCCAAGACCAAAGGAGGGGAGATGCCGCTGACCAGCAGATGTGTCTCATGGTGCATCTACGTTCATTCAGCAGAAGAGGAGCCAGGCAGGTTCTTCAGCCGCATGCACTCATCCCCAGGAGACCCACTGGCTGTGGGGATGATCAGGAAGTTGCTGAAAGTGGGGTCCGTTGGTTGGGAGCAGCCAGTCAGGCCTCTTGGGCTGTAACCTGAAAGATGAAAGGTGTTCTGGGTGCGCACGTCTGTCCTCAGGGCAAAGGAGAGCGAGAAGGGAAGCGGGATAGGTGAGGATGGTTTTCCTTTTTGAGTCACTTGGGAGGGCTTCAGCATGGGGTAAAAAGCTTTACCCTACGAACTTGAATATGATAGATTGTAGAATCACATATTTGGAGCTGGAAGGAACCAGAGAGACCCAGATGAGGAAAATGAGCCCCAGCCATGTGAGATTCCTTTCCCAAGCTGACACAGGAGAGCTTTAAGACTGTATACACACACACACACACACACACACACACACACACACACACACACTTTAATTCAATAAAAAAAAAAAAACCTACTTATTGACTGGATTGATTTTCCCCCCTGACATCTGGTGGAGCCATCATGATGTAGTAGTCAACAAGAGGTGGCCTCAGAGTCAGGAAGGCCTGAGCTGAATCTCACCCCTGACACACAGGGGTGGTGTGACCCTTGATAAGTCACTGCACCAGAGTCTGAGATATAGAACGGATTACCAAAGGGAGTTCCCCATGCTGACAAAGCCACAGGTCTGGTCCCAAACAAAATACAGAGGAGTCTGCTCCACTCAGCCTTTTGTTTTCCCCTTCAGCTGAACAGCTTAGCAGGAGATCTGTTGGCAGCCAGAGGAAAGGCATAGGGGCAGATTTTACTTTTAGATTGATGTGAAAAACAGAATGGAATGGGACAGGTCCAAAGTTGTATGTCCAGATGTAGGGGCCACCTTGAGAAGGGACGTTGACAAGGCAGTGCCACTGCTGGGAAGGACAGAGGGGGAGATGAGGGCCCTCGAGGCAGCCTCCCAGCAGCACCAACCAAAGGAGTGAGGGAGGGTCCCCTAGAGAGGGGAGCCCTTGGAGAGGACACGGAGCCATCTTCACGTATTTGAAAGAGACTCGAGCTTCAGCCTGTGCAAGGGTGACTCCTCAAGAAATGGACAGATGACTTGAGGATAAAGCATCCCCATTGGCAGTTCTCCCCTGGAATCCTGAGAGTTTTCTCTGACTGGGAAGATGATGTGGACCAAAGGAAAGCACACAGGACAAGCAGCTGGAAGAGCCCCACAGCAGGGCACGTGTGCTCACCTCAAGGGGTGGTGCTGGAGGACCTCCGCACCTCAGTGGGAGGCGGGGGCCAGGGTCTGTGGTCCCTGCTATGTCCACTGACTCTCAGTCATAGATCCCCGGGCTGTCAGGACAAGGCAGGCTCCTTCTTGTGTCACACGGCTGACTTGTGCCCTCCCTGTCGGAGCCCACGATGCTCCCGTGGCCCCTTCCCCAGTGGGCTCCATCCTCTCCGAGGGAAAGGCCCCTGGGGAAAGAGAACGGACTGGTACAGGTTGGCCCGACAGGATGGAGCTCATAGAGGATGGGAAGGGGTTAGAAGGAAACAGATGTTGACTCCTGACGCTTAGAGCTGACCAACAGTGGATGGTCCAGGTGACCTCACTGAATGCATTGATACATTGTAGACATGTCTTTGCTACCTCAGAATTTGGAGGTAATCTCAGAGGGAAGGTACTGAATTAAGCGGAGTTGGGAAAGACTTTTAGAAGGGAGGGTTTTGTTTGGGACTCAAAGGAAACCAGGGAAGTCGGTAGTCAGAGCAGAGAAGGGTGAACATGCCTGGCATGGGGGACAGCCAGACACCCAGAGATGGAAGGTCTTGTTCAAAGAGCAGCCAGGAGGTCAATGTCACTGGATCTGAAGAGTACAAGTTGGGAAGTAGGGTAGAAGACTAGACTAGGCTGTGACGGGTGTGGGATGTCAGACAGAGCATTTTGTATTTCTTCTTGGAGGCAATAGGGAGTCACTGGGGGTGGGGGTGGGGGAGGTGACGTGGTTGGACCTGTGCTTTAGGAAAACGCCTTTGGTGGCTGAACGGAGGATGGATTGCAGTGAGGGGAGACTGAGGCAGGCAGACCCACCAGCAGCTATCGAGATAGTCCAGATGTGAGGTGAGGAGGGTCTGCACCTGAGTGGGGGTGGTGTCAGAGAAGAGAAGGGGGCGTATTGGGGAGATGCTGCAAAGGTGAAATTGACAGGCCTTGGCAACTGATTGGACGTGGGGGGTGAGAGATAGTGAGGAGTCTTAGGAGGATTCCTAGGTTGTGAGCCCTGGTTTCCTTGTGTGTAAATGGTAATAACAATACTTCTATTGCCTACGTCATAAGGTGGTTGCGAGGAAGGCACTTTGCAAACCTTAGAGAAGATGCCAATTTAAAATAACAGAAGTGATTTGTTATAGTTCATTTCTGGTGTCTCTTCCAAAGCTAACCCAGGACAAGGATGGCCTGGAGAGGAAGCACTTCCGTGGCCATTCCATGTCACGTGACCTTAGTCATCA